GGGCCAAATCGGAACAAACCACTACCCGTGACCCACATGATCTCGACCCGGATGGGTCAGCGGGCAGGTCGAGTTGTAGTCCAAAATTTGTGGGTCGACCCGAAACTCTTAGAGGGCGAGCTTTTTTTCATGCGGTCGTTACCGGGCTCATATGTTGACAGTTCGACTCGTCCCGTACCATCCGGATTGACACCTCTAAGTCAATATGTATGTACATAAATGTTTCATTTTTAAAGTATGTATGTGTGTCCCTTTTGTGTGCTTATAGATTAAATTTTAAATTTCATCACATTCAATGTTTTTTTTTTCTTTTTCTTTTTAATTTCCTACATGTATTATAGTAAAATATACAAGTTATAAAGATATAAAACACTTTATAAATTAATAAATATTCATTTATCGATTAATTAATAATTTCTCTAAAATAATATTTTTTCTCGATTTCAATATTATTATTTTATAGATGTTTTACTGTACACGTTGAACCCCACCATCTGAACTAAATGGGGGTTTGGCGGCAGTTGACATTTTACACACGCATTAGAAATATACTGCAATTATTAGATTAAAAAACTAAGTAACAGAGTATTACATTAAAAATAATTGAATGTTCCACTCCATTACAGTCAGGAACTAGCATATGCTCCATATATAATAATGGTGATGACTTGTGTTTGAAGCCTATAAAAAGCGTGTTCGTGAATGGCAAAGAGCATTAATTAGTTGAGAAAATGGCAGAAGAAGAAGGTCATCAGCCTGAAATCAATTTGGATAAAGAATCAGGCGGCCTCAAAGACCGAAAAGTCTCTTGGGCAAAACTCCGTCGTGTAGACTCTCTAAATTTGGAGGCTGGAAGACTTTCTTTTAAGCCATCTCATAGATCCCAGGTAGGTCTATATAATCTGCTAATTTCTAAATTAAGGTTGTCGGAATGGGTTCTTTAGTTAGTTTTGATGATATAATAAACATACACGCAACAGGTAAGCTGGAAGACAAATCTGAGTTTAGCATTTCAGAGCA